ACTCTTTCCAAGTGAGTTGGAGTTTTGTGGCTTTAAGCAACTCTTTCCAGCTGTTAAATGCAGAATGTTTGCCTCTGAAAAATGTGATGTTACCAGTGAAATGATCAAAAAAGGGCGGTGACAAAACTATGCAGTTGCTGAAACTTAGAATAAAAACAGGTGGCTTAAGCCACGTTCCCTCAACTGACTTGAAATCATCTTAAAGGATCACTGCTGTTCTTGAAGGACCCTTTCAAACATTACATTTTGCAGACCAGACTCTTCTAACTACACAGTTGTGTAGCTTCCACTATGAATCTCTCCCTGGATTTTTATAGGTGCCTTCAAAGGTCTCTTTCAGAATCGTTTGGGGTTTTTTTTCTTCTGTGCAATTAAACGTAAGGGAAAGGGCAGGCCAATGATGACTTGCATATCTGCTAAGTAGAATTCCTCATTGATGGGTCATGAGATAGGAACAACACCCCTCAATAAACTTGAGAAAATGGGGTGTATTTCAGCTCAAAGCTGGCTTCTCCTTCCATGTTACCTTCTCCACTATACCAGGGACCAATACCAACATCAGACATTTGGCTTTGTGCAGGTTTCGCCTGCTCCTGCTGTATATTCCTTACCTGCAGGGATTGAGGAAGCACTAAGGCACTGCAACCTTCAAGCACCTCATCACTCAGTTGGATCTATAGACCCAAGTTAGGCACCCAGACTCCTTTAGAGGAGGCAAGAGTAAGGCACCTAAGAATGGGATCTACAAAAGCCAGCACGCTGAGCACACCCTGAGGGTCCTAGCCACTGAGCTACTAAAGAAAGAGTATTTATTCAGCATTTCCTACTGGCGTGTGAATTGTCATCCTGCAATAGGGTGGTAGGTTGAAAGCTAATCAGAGAGGAGCAGGGATTCATGATGACAAAGGCACTGAACTGATCTGCACTTCCTGGATCTGCTTTAGACACTGTGTGACCCTGGACACTTCGCTTTGGACTTGTCAGAAACCTCTGTCCTTACAGCCATGTCAGCAGAGCCACCTTTAGTGCAGATACGTAGTGGGATTCTGCCCGCATAGCTTCACCACCTTTCTGAATAACCTGGGCAAACTGACAGAAGTCCTCTTCTCTTAGTACAGATGCCTCTGCACCAGGGGTTTTGCCAGCATTGGTATGTCAGCTAGGAGGTGGGATTTTTTCAGAGCCTTGGCTAATGAAATTATGAGAACAACACTTGGAAGAGTAGATCTGATTTAGTCTCTGTCTGCTTCAGCTCCTCATCTCGAAAATAGAGATTATTTTAAAAAAAATTTACTGTAATCTCTTTAGGGTGGGGGTTGCCTCTTACTATGTGTGTGGACAATGCCTAGAACATACAGCCATGATCTCAGCTGGAGACTAAGCCCTGTAATATAAAATAAATAGCAATGCATCCCTTCAGAGTTCAGAGCAAGGGGAAAAATACAGAGAATACAAACTTGATCAATTAGCAGCTTCCCCATAAGTGTTTGTTTGCCCTTTAGGGTATTTTTGCTTCAGTAATATTTACTGAATCTCCTTTTTCATGTTCAAATTTAAACTTTAAGATGGTCTTTAAAGCTGAGTAACCTAATACACCCATTTATGCCCAAATTTGTATTTGAAGAGCTGCGGTTAAGCAAGACGTGTCCAGAAGTTCAAGGTAAACTCAGTATGACCATAACTGGTGAGACTATGTTCCTTTCATGCAGCTACTTATCAGATGGGCCAACTCAATGGAACACTCAATTATTTTTTGGTGAAAGAAATACAAGCTGATGTGATCCACATTTAATAAAGAGATATGATGAGAAGCAAGATTAATTCAAGTCACTGGGAGATACAATGACTCAGAGATTTGATAATGTGAACCATCATTCATCCCTGGGTCAGGAGTTCAAATCCACCCTGGTTGGGCATTAAGCCAAATTAAGTATCTAACAGCCATGCGGTGACTCCTGTAAAAGGAGTTTATGCTTTGTTTCTGTAAGCAGACAGGGTCCCACATCAAAATTAAGACACAAGTTTTACCAGTCACTGCAGGCAAGACAGTAGTCGGAGACTGCCTGGCCATGGAGTTATCATTATGGGAAGTGAACAAGGTAAGTAAAACATCAGGCTGTATAGACAAGCTTGTCCACATGCTGTCCTTGAAACATGGCATCTTAACTGGATTTATGTATGGAGGACTCCAGTCCCCAGAGTTGTCAATCCAGCATTTTTATGAGCGTTCAAGTCTACTGAAAGCATGTCAATGCATGAAGTCATAACCCAAATTATTTTTCTGTCTAAATATAGAGAGATGGTCTTGAACTAAGTCTTGGATCTAAAGACCCCCGTATTTCATGATGTTTGGATCCAGATTTAAACATTAGCCCTGATTCTACCATTAAATCAGCATGTGGAAGTCTACCTGCATGTATGAGTCCACCTTGTGTCAACTTACAGGAGCGGGGTCTTTTCAGTCATGCCCTTCTCTGAATCTTTATGAATATTTTAATTTAAAATGGCTCTAGAATAGCATTCTCTGTGTTTCTCGCACAAGGAAAAGCTTGAGAAACATGATCTCAGTGCACCCTAAGGCTCAGAAACCAGGCAGCAGCTAAAAACAGTCCCAAGTTTATTACCAAGCTCAAGATTTTCAAGGCTTCACGATTCTGGGGTACAGTTTGTGGCACTGGCAGTCCAGGGTGAGCCCTGGCACCTGGGCCATGCCCAGTTGTCTTTTCAATTCTGATCGAAGGGGCAGGGCTTCCATCTGAAAAGTGCAAAGGTAACTTGAACAGATGAGCTCCTGTTTTAATGTCTGTGGGTGCCTGATCATTATTTCTGCAAAACCCAGAGAATAGTTCTCAGTTCAACCTTCAAAAATTAGCATGAGGGGGAGGATGACAGCTGAGGTACGGCTTAAGAGTTGGTGAAATGTGATAGAATGACAGCTCTTAGGAATAAAGCCCTCTCACAAAAGAGCAGGCCCAGTGCAGGCAGCAATGCTGCAAGCTTCTCCAGCCCACGCAGCCAGTGCTCCTAAGGTTCAACCTCTGGCCCCTCAACAGCTCATGGTCCCTGCCCTGAAATCCCAAACCTATTCTTCCTTCCAAGCTCCCACTCCCTTGATTTCTATTTGCCCAGCACAATGAGCAGAATAAGCTTTCCAACCATTTTAACTAATACTTTCCACACTGGGCCAGTTGATAGGGAGAGAGGACAAAGGAACAGGGGGAAAGCCATCTTATGTACAGGGGGAGTTAATCCCTCTTGACAGATGCTACTAAAATCATTTCTGCCAGAGACCACTTTATCTCTGGCTTAGATATTTCCAAAGGCAAAAGTCACAACGGCTCATCAGTCTCCACCAAACTGAGGTGCATGTCAGGTATTAGCAACCATGTCTCCAAGGGAATGAGACATGTCCCAAAACTGCTAATTACCAACTTCAAATCCTCCTGTCCACTCATGGAAAGACCCTGACAGCTTGTCTCGCCCAATCCTCCCTGTGGGAAACCAAGCACAGAAAGAAACTTTTGATCTGATTCTGAGCAAGCCTTGGGGAGGGGAAATGTATGTTGCACGTTCAAACATATGCAACTGTTTGTCGATTAGATGTTTCCAGCAAGATGCTTAGAATAGCAGCTCCCATATAAAGTTATGCAGATGATGATTCATAAGCTCTACTAACTGTTAGTCAGAAAAACAGTGTTATCCAGAAACAGAAAAGACAGAACAAGTTTTGAATCTCCCACACACTGAGATAAAGCATAAATCCACCTCCACACCCACTCTCTCCTTAGCACTCGCTTAAGATGTTCAATGCTTACAAATATATTACAGTACAAAAGAATTAATTAAGAAAACAAAGTGGGGTCTGAAGTCTGAGCTCTAATTGAAAGGATCCATCTCACCTTGATCTGAGTGGTGGTGGTGGCTGGCATTTCAGGGCAAATAACACCGGTCAAGATTTTAAAACTGTATCCGAGAAACTCTGCTGCTATTAACCCCTCCAAAGAAAGTGCAGCCCTGAAGGTGGATTTCCACAAGGAAACCGTTGTGCAAAGGACTCTACAGCCACACCTTCAATCTCCCAGCCACATATTCAAAGGCTGCTGCTGATTTTCGTGGTCTTGCTAGTTATGAAGGAAGAGGAGAGGTAAGATTTGGTTGCCCAAAATTCCAGGGCTGCAACAAAAAAAACAGCAGCCACTTGTGGGGCATAGTTTTGTGGAGCATTTAACTGGGAATAAAATGATGCAACCTATGAAGACGTGGTTCGGTGCAGGGAGCGCTGCATAGGTAACCCCAATCCACAGGAGTATCCGATCTTAAAAGAGAAGATATTTGGGGCTGCCTGCTTTCTGAGCGTGACAAAGGAAGGCATCTATTCCCCTCCGAGTTTCTTTAATGGTGCAAAGCTAGCATCACCCCCAAGCATTTCTCACCCCCCTGACTGCCCACCTAAGGTCCCAGGGGATAGGGACTCGCCTACCTTACAGCCTCAGCGATCCCCCATCCGACAGAGGACATAGGGAGCTGCTGTGCTTGCAGCACCAGGGACCAGCACACCGGTGGCCAGCCCGATCTGCCTCGAGCTAAAGCTGGGCTTGCCCTCGCAGGTCCCGGGCAGACACTCCCCGCCCCGCAGCCGGTACGGAGACCCGGGGAGGCGGCAGCGCCCTCCGGCGGGGAAGGGGGAAACCGCTCGGGATCAAGCCCATTGCATCCCAGTCCCAGGCGGTCCTGATGCTCCTGCGGCGCAACATCCTTCCTGCAAACTAACCAGCCCCTCCCATGGCTCAGCCGAGGAAGGGAGAGACAAAAGAGGGTTTATTGACAGAAGGCCTCTGCTGCGAAATGAATGCTCCCTGGAAACTTTCCTCTCGGAGGAGAGTAGCTAAAGAGCTCCTCCTGCCGCCCTGTGCACCGCATCGCCGGCCCAAGGCAGCATCCATCCAGCTGCTGATGGCCCCTACTAGTTTTGTCCTTTGCAGAGAAGGAGTGCAACTCTTCGCTGATAAAAGGAATCAGACTCGTGGTGGAGGTGATCTTTTTATCAGAGCAACTAGATTGGGGGTGGGGGGTCTTTCTTTGCAAGCTTTTGGGCGCAAACACCCTTCTTCAGCCATAGGACGAAAGATTGTAAAAGTTCTCCTGGGTAAAAATGAAAGTTCATGTTTCATAGGAGAGTTGAAAATGTGGTAAAATCTTCTGTTTGGAACAGTTCATCCCCCTCCTCCCCCACATTTTTGTTGTTGTTGCAAAAATCCAGTTGGTCTAATAAAAAAAAATATCACCTCTACCACAAGTCCTGACTCCTTTTGCCTCTGGACCAATACAGCTGCAACCAGAGTACCTGACAGTACTCACTTGCATTGGCGACACATAGGGGTACACATGGATGCACGTACACCCCCTGAGCATGGCAGTGCAACCCCCTGCGAAAAGGTGCCGCCGACACTGCTGGCGGCATCTGTGGGCAGTCCGCGATCACCACTGGCCGACACTGTTGGCAGCGCCTGTGGATGGTCGCCAACCGCTGGTTGGTGCTCACCACTCCCCCCGTGCCGCCAACAGCACTGCAGTTGCCTGCAAGAGGTCACCGCTTGTCGCCGCCACCGACAGCGCTGCCGCTGCCTGCAGGGGCTCACCGTGCCCCGCCAGCCTCCAGGGGCATGGAGCATTCATATTCACTTGTGAGCCCAAGACTAGAGAAATCCTCATCAATTCACCCACGCCAGCCACACTTGTTTCCTCCCCACCTCCACCTAAGCAAGGCCCTGAGGGTTGAAATCCACCCGCGCTGTGCTGTTGTCAGACCTGTCTGTAAATGATTCCTGCTCCGCTTCTATTTTAAAGCAACTGCAGAGACTTGTTGCTAAGAATTCAATAATCCTACCTGACATTCCCATTGTTTTATGTGCTCACCTTCTCTTTCCCATCGCACAAGTTGGCTGACTTCCAGACTGTCAATAGCAGCATTGCCAGCTCTGACAATGGTTTGAGGTTTTCATAAAGGGCCAGCTCAGAGTGAGATGTGATGGCATGACAAGCTCAGTTTTTATTTCATGATGAGCAAGCTTAGGCTTGCTACGGAAAAGCCATTTGAAAACATGAACACGAATGATTCCCAAGGCTGATGGTAAATAAAGAGAACTGCAAACTGGTTGTCTTAAAAGAGTTCCAGGTTTTAAGCCAAGCTTGTGATGTCAGCCGATTTAGACTCACGTGATTTCTGAAAGTTTGGAGTGGAGTGACAATGAAGGCACTGGCTGGGAATGAAGGCAGTAAAGCAACAAATGTCATGAATACAAGTGAGATCACTTGGAGGAGGAGGAGGAAATGATGGAATAGGAAGCAAAGTCCAGTATTTAGGGCACTAGCCTAGCACTTGGGAGACAGGGCTTTAAGTTTGTGTTTTGCCCTAAGCTTTCCGTGTCACCTTGAGCAAGTCAGTTATCTTCTGTGTGCTTTGGGTCCCTCTGGGATCAGAGGGATTCCCCTACCTCATGGGGATGTTGTGAGTGAAGGGTGAGAGGTGCTGTGAAAAGTATCTGAAATAGAGGAAAAGCAAGGGGTTTTTGTGACATCTTTTACTGAAACAGTTGTATAGCTAGATGGAAGAGCTATTGGACAAAGCACCCTTCCTCAGCCTAAGCCTGAGACAGAGCCATCATGTTCCTTGATTCCAACACAAGATTGAATATTCTGAATCAGAAGTGACTCAAACCACAAAGTGTGAATATAGATTTTAAATGAACACAAAGTCTGGCAGTGCTCTGGTCCCAGGTTTTGGGTCAGGTCCAACTCTGTTTTTACATCTAACATCTGGATTTATGGGCTTTTTTTGTCTCATACGGATGAAACGGCAGATTCTGTAAAAATTAACACACATGGCTAGAACTTGTCGTGCAGCAGGGCACAGAGCTGCTGTGCACTGTTAACGAGCTGTCAGGTTCCTCCCCAGACATAGCTGATGTGATGAACGAAGCGGTTCCTGCTGGGTACGTTTACACTGAAGTCGCTGATATCTGTGTAGCCATCACAGTCTGGAGCTCAGAACAGGCTATAAAACCCACCCGGGAGACTGGGTAATACAAAGCTCTGCATTGCCATGGCTATACACTAACAATATCCAAGTAATCTCATTCAGTGTTAGCTCAGTTATGTCTACATGAGCAGTGACTATATAGAGAGCAGTGAGCCTACAACTCACCAGTATCCTCCCTATATCCCACTACTAAAACTGGATCTATTGGTTTCTCTAAGTGTCAGGTGTTGTCCTAAACAGAAACGAATTATGGGGGATCTGCAAGTACAAGGTAACCTAGGAGACAGTGACCACCTATTGATAGGATTCACTATCCGGCGAAAGGTGGGAAAGATAACTAGTAGGGCAGGCGTGCTAGATTTTTGGAAGGCCAACTTCAGTGAACTCAGGAGATTAGTTAAGAGTGGGACTGAGGGGTAACATCAGTGAGTTGGGAGTCCAGGAAGGGTGGTGTCAGAACCCATTGACTAAATGCCTCTGGCACAGTGGAAAGTCCCAGCACAGCAAAAAGCCCCGCCAAGTCCAACAGCTGCAATCGTTTAAGTTTCAACAAGTCCTCATGATTGGCTGACCATGCGCGCCACCCATTGGCCGGTTACAAATTAATCCCACTTGGCAACTAGTAATTGGCTTACTAGCTATATAAAAGTAAAAGCAGTTTCCGCCCTCGTTGGAGAACTCCGCACGCATCTCGGAGTAAACTTGGTGGACTGATCGCCCACCAACAACTCCTCGTCACTGACTTTCCTGACGTACCCCTTCCCTGGTACCACGATAAGCCGATTACGAACGTCTCGTCTCGTCTCGTCTCGCCTTGATACCCTCTCGCGTTCCAGAGAGCACTCGCTACATTTGTAACTGCAACCAAAGTCAGCGTTCTGCCTGCGCTGCGTGCATCAGCGTCGTAAGTAAACAATGTATTTTTACCAATACGCATCTGTGCCTAATTCCGCTCCATTCGCCGAAGTACCCACCTGGCACTCCGGGCTACCGGCCATAGCCCGGCAAGTCGACCGACCACCATATGGCGTCACGAACAGGATCCGGGGAAGGAGCAATGGAGTCAGGATTAGTTAAAGGCTACCCCCTTCCCAGTGGGGTGCGCGCAACATCCGATTCGGGTGACCGATGGGGCCACATTACATATCGTCAGGCAGGATGGGAAGGGACACCCCCGGACAAGTTTAACTGTCCGACTCTGGCACCCCAGTCGCGCAGCCACGAACTGCTAACCCAGCTCCGTGAAAATTTAGAAGCGGAGGGCCGCACCGCAACAAGGTGGACAGGCCCCGAATGGGACAAAGGGAAAATGATTAATGTACTGTTCCGCACAGTTTCGCTCCTACTACGTGAAAATGCAAACTTAGAAACCCAGCTAGCAACGGTCAGCAAAACTGCCGTGGAAATGGCGGCGCGGCACAGCCCTGAGCCACTGCTCGAAAATGGCGCCGAGGAAAAGTGGAAGTGCTCAGAAAGCCCGGAAGAGAAGGGGGAAGAGGGCGGCGCCACAAAAGGCCGGGCGGAAACGCAGCCAACAGCCCTGCCCCCTTATTGCAGGGGGGAACCACCGGGCGGGAACCTGTATCCAACCCTCCCGCCGGGTACGCCGACACCCCCGGCAGCCGCTCAACCCAAAGGCCCAGCCGGCGCGCCGAGCCATCCCACTGAGCGCCCGGTCGAGTACGAAAGGCCAAGACATCACCAACCTGACCCTCGAAGAGCATCAAAACCGCCACCCCAGAGGACACCAGAGGAGAGAGCCATGTTTGGGTTCCTCCTGAACCACTCCAAACTCACTAAAAAACAGCTACGCATCTTAGGAGATGCAAGACAACGACAGCTGGCAAAGGGGTTGGGCTTCCGATATGTTAAAAAGACAGAACCCGAATAACCGCCGCCGGCCGGGCCAGCAGACACACTGTCAACCTGGCCCAGCGGACCCTCGCCTTGTACGAAACTTGCCATAGCCCGGCAAGTCAGCCGGCCACCACAGGTGGGAGTTCCTCAAGGGACTGATCCTGCGGGCACAGCGGGGTACCATCCCAGTACACATAAAGGGAGGCAAAAGAGCCAAGAAACCCTCTTGGCTGAGCAGGGAAACCCAGGAGAGCCTAAAGGGGAAAAGAGGCCTACAGGCTGTGGAAGCAGGGTACAACCACTAAAGAGGAGTATACCTGCTTGGCTTGCGCTTGCAGGGAAGCAGTGAAGAAGGCCAAAGCAGAAACTCAACTCAGGCTGGCAACAAAGACTAAGGGTAATAAAAAGTCCTTCTTCAAGTGCATAGGGAGCAAAAAGAAGGTGCAACATAGGACCACTACAGGATGGACTAGGGCAACTCGTAACAGATAGGATGGACAAAGCTGAGCTCTTAAACGATTTCTTTGCATCTGCGTTTCATAGATTTCATAGACATTAGGGCTGGAAGGGACCTCGGAAGATCATCGAGTCCAGCCCCCGGCCCGAAGGGCAGGAAGTCAGCAGGGGTCATAGGATCCCAGCAAGATAAGCATCCAATTTACTCTTGAAGGTGTTTAATGTAGGTGCTTGAACCACCTCCGGTGGCAGGCTATTCCAGACCTTGGGGGCTCGGACAGTAAAGAAATTCTTTCTTATGTCCAGCCTGAAATGGTCTTGCAGTAGTTTATAACCGTTAGACCTCATTATCCCTCAGGGCGCTCTGGTGAACAGACGTTCCCCCAGATACTGGTGGTCACCCCTGATAAACTTATAGGTGGCTATCAGATCACCCCTGAGCCTGCGCGTTTCCAGGCTAAAAAGCCTCATAGATCTCAGCCTGTCATTGTAAGGTCTGTTTTCCCGACCTCTGATCGTGCATGTGGCTCTTCTCTGGACTCTCTCAAGCTTCTCCACATCCTTTTTGAATTGTGGAGCCCAAAACTGGACACAGTACTCCAGCTGTGGCCTCACCAAGGCCGAGTACAAGGGGAGAATGACGTCCCGGGATTTGCTTGAGAAGTATCTCTGGATGCAAGCCAGCGTTTTGCTTGCTTTACTAGCCGCAGCATTGCATTGCAGGCTCATGTTCATCTTGTGGTCAGTGATGACCCCCAAGTCTCTTCCGCAGTGCTAGCCAGCGTAGCACTGCCGAGCCTATAAGCATGCTGCAGGTTTTTCCTCCCAAGGTGGAGAACCTTGCATTTTTCAGTGTTAAACACCATCAGGTTCTTGTCTGCCCATTTGCTGAGCCTGTCCAGGTCAGCCTGGATCGCCCTCCTGTCTTCAGGTGTGGATGCTTTGCCCCAAAGTTTGGTGTCATCGGTGAACTTGGCCAGTCCGCTTCTGACTCTAATGTCCACATCATTAATGAAGATGTTGAACAATATGGGTCCAAGGACAGAGCCTTGGGGGACCCCACTGGTCACTGGGCACCACGACAATTGACTTACGTCTATTACCACCCTCTGGGTCCGACCACGGAGCCAATTCCCCAGCCAGCGGATCGTGGTGGACCCAAGGCCACAATTGGCCAGTTTCGCCAAGATGTGATCATGGGGGATCCTGGACACAGATACAAACACAGCTCACAGTGAGACTTTAGTCTAGCCTGAGAGAGATACCAATCCACCAGCAGTTAGCACTGACCCAGTGAAGGGGCACTTGGAGGGGTTGGATGTATTTAAGTCAGCAGGCCCCAATGATTTTCACCCAAGGGTATTAAAGGAATTGGCCAGTGTCATAGCAAAACCACTGGTGCAACTGTTTGAGCTCTCGTGGCACTCAGGACAAGTCCCAGAAGACTGGAAAAGGGACAGTGTGGTCCCTATTTTCAAGAAGGGGAGGAAGGAGGACCTGGGTAATTATAGGCCAGTTAGCCTCACCTCTATTCTTAGCAAGACCTTAGAAAAAATCATAAAGGATCACATTTGTGGGGGGCCAGCAGGTAATACAATGTTAAGGGGCAATCAGCATGGGTTTATAGCAGACAGATCCTGCCTGACTAACCTGGACTCTTTTTATGACCAGGTCACAAGTGCTTAGATGGAGGAGTAGAAGTAATCCAAGGTTATTTACCTGGATTTTAAAAAGGCTTTCGATACAGTGTCGTACCCAATTCTTACAAATAAACTAAGTAAGCCAAGTTTGCTGACATGGATTTTTTTCGCAGTCAGGTGGGTGGAAAACTGGCTTATGGGACACACCCAGAGACTGGTGGTGGATGAGTCAGTTTCTACCTGGAGAGATGTGGGCAGTGGTGTTTCTCAAGGCTCTGTTCTTGGACCAGTGCTGTTCAATATCTTCATCAGAGATCTGGATGAGGGTGTAGAAAGCACTCTGTCCAAATTCGCAGGTGACACCAAACTATGGGGTATAGTAAGCACGCTAGAGGGTACGGAGCGAATTCAGGTGGATTTAGATAGACTGGGGAAGTGGGAGGATCAGTATAGGATGCAATTTAACAAAGGTAAGTGCACAGTGCTGCATCTGGGGAGAAAGAACCACCAATACACCTATAGACTGGGAAGTACCATTCTAAGTAGCACAGCACTGGAAAGGGATCTCGGAGTCTTAGTCAATCCAAAAATGAATGTGAGTCACCAATGTGATGAGGTATAAGTAAGGCTAACTGCGCTCTTTCCTGCATTAGTAGGTGCATCACAAGCAAGTCTAGGAAGGTGATACTTCCTCTCTGTGCCGCATTGGTGAAGCCGCAGCTGGAGTACTGCGCCCAGTTTTGGGCGCTGCGCTTCAAGAGGGAAGTGGATAACCTGAAAAAGGTTCAGAGGAGGACTACTCATGTGGTTGAGGGCCTGCAGGTAAGATCCTATGAAGACAGATTGAAGGATCTGAATCTTTTCAGCCTCTGCAAGAGAAGGCTGAGAGGTGATCTTGTGGCTGTCTACAAACTCATCGGAGGGGGGGGAAATCGGTCAGCAGGGGATAGGGGATACTCTGTTTACCAGGGTGCCCCTTGAGGAGACTAGAAACAACAGCCATAAACTGAAGAAGAGTAGATTTAGATTGGACATCAGGAAGAAATTCTTTATGCTGAGGGTTGCCAAAATATGGAATGGGCTTCCAAGGGAGGTGGTGCTTTCCCCTACCTTGGAGGTGTTCAAAAGGAGATTAGACAAGCACCTAACTGGGGTTACTTGACCCCAGCGCTCTTTTCGGCCCAGAGCAGGGGGTCAGACTCAATGATCTAAGAGGTCTCTTCCAACCCTAGAAATCTATGAAATCTATTATACACATTCCCAATTGCTTTGAAATCAGGGTGTTCTGATCACCACAAATCTTTCATGAATCACTTCTCTAGATGTTTAAGCCCTTTTCTGTTTAAATTTAGTCAGCTCAAAAGTTGGTGCTTCTAAATAACATGTACATTGCCACCTTCACACATGCGGTGCTGATGGGGTGAGATACTTGTCTGTAGATCACTGGATACAAGTGCAGTGAACGTGTTTCTAAGTGAAATCAGAATGGTGGGTTTTTTTCTTGTAAGCCCTTTAATAGCTTAGGTCTAGGCATTTAAGAAAACATCTCTCTCCCCAGAGTTAAGGGAAACCAGAATGCTAGTGGCTGAATACCTACACTGATATGTGAGGGATTGTGGGATCTCAGTGGAGTGGCCCTGAACTCTGGGATAAGTTATTCTACCAAATTTAGGACCATTGTGACTATCACTTTGACACAGCCACAGGGAATTTTACAATCATAAGTTAAGGGTAAAAAAAATGGAATACTTCTACAAAAGCACAGACCCTGATCATTTAAGGTAGCAGAGTCTGTCAGCTGTTAGGATCATAGGTTTATGAATCACTGCTTCCATCCATTAAAGAACAATGACACATGTTCTTTTGTTCATCACATATTCCTTCTATGTAGACAAAGTTTATTTTTATCTGCAGTTTCACTGTTCAGCAGTTACTAAATCACCTTTAGGCAATTTCTGTGCACAGAACTCTGTGCATTTTTACAGTATTGTATTTTTATGCAGCCAAGTAAAAAGTGAAGTGGTTTAAAACAATGAAGTATTACACCCGCTCTTTGAATGTAGAGCCCTACATGGCAAATCAATCAAACTTCTGCACCAGCGTTTTAGATGCCCCCAGCTTTTAGATACTACTACTTATTCCCCAATTTATGAAATACAGCTAAACATAACAGTAGCAAAATTATTTGCAACAGAGTGCATTTCATAGAAGTTAATCTTGCTCAAATGACTTCCTTGTGAAGATGAAGTCCTCACCAGATAGTCAGATAGAAATCTTTAACAAGGAACAATTCTGGTGAGGAATGTTAATTTCTCTCTTCCTTAACTGGATGGGATTTTTAATTGCTTAATGAATTTGCGTTCATTAGTCTTTTTCCTCTGGGTTCAGTCACCCCTATTGAACCCTGTGGATAAGCCATGAGAAGTCCATTTTCAATATGAGCGCACTGAGCTTAATCTTCTTTAGCAGGGACATGCTAAACCACGGCAGTGCCCTGGGGCAGTGCTGATCACTGGAGGGGTGTGGTAGGATTGCAACTGAGAAGCAAGCTTGCTACACACCCGATGCATCAGGGAACGCCAGAATACCCTCCCACTCATCCCTCCAGCCCCATCCCAGGTATCTTTCCTATGGCTGTCACAGCTCAGCCATAGAAGACAGGCAGCCTTTTGCCCAGTAATGCATAGAGGCAAGGGATCTAGCAGCATGGTGCCTAATCCTGGATTTTTTGCCAAGGGAGGCATAGCTCCTCACCCAGTAGCCTATGTAGGATGGAGGAAGGAGTAAACAAGGCACCAGGGCAGCCCCCAGGGAGCTTACATTTCAGGGCTGCTGCAGCTGAACCCAATACACCTACTGCAGTGCTGTTCTCCAAGTGCTGTCCCTGAGGCCTTCTTCATTTACCGCCCCGTCTTCCCCACATATGCTGCTGGACACAGAGCTGCCCAATTTCTATGCCCGGGCTGTGCCTGCTGTAGAAAAGACTCCCAGAGGGGGGCATTTTGGAGCCACCTTTAAGTTGGCACCTGGGACAGGTGCCCCACTCATCCCCCTGCCCTAGTTACATTACTGTTCTTTAGATCTTAATCGTTTAAGCTGCTTTTTTGTGGATGAAATCTCGGTACCCACACAGAGCCCTACAAGTGTTCACCACACGAAGTAGATCCATATCATGCTCAGCACCATAGAACAGAATCAGAGCATTTAGAGGATATTGCTATGGCCACCAAGTGTTGTTATTGTGGTCTTCCAAGTTCTTTATTTCAATACATGAGTAAATGTTTCATTTTAGGAAGTCATGCTGCAATGTTAATTTTTATTTCTGCAAGATTCTGTGCAGAGGCAATGGTATCTAGCAAGGAAACAGATGGGACAGGCTTTAGCTATCTGTTACTGAGGGGCTGCACTGGTATCCAAATGAGACATTGGTATGGGAAGAAGGGGCATCAACATAGAAAGCTGTTTTATTCCCATTGTCATCTCTTTCCTGCCATATTACCGAAGGGATATTTATATTAGTATTATGTTGTTCTTGTATAATGAAGAGGGAAAACTAGGATTTAGAGAAGAGTCTTATATTTGGATCTGAAGGTAGTGAGATGGTTATCCTGATCTCCCTGGGAAAGCAGTGTCACAACTCTCCCTGTCTTTAACTGTCCCAAAATGTCGTGTTTTTGAGGACAGCTCTATAGTTCCAGCATGCTGTGTCTTCCAAAATCCATTTTACCAGATATGCTTTTTTTTTTTTTTAGCTACAGTGACTTTAATTTAATGTCATTAGAATTATCATACAAAAATTAAACGGGACCAGGAATATGTCCAGTTAACACCAGGAATATGCTCATCTTTCCAAACTTCCTTCAGCTCTGCTGCTTTCTTAGCTTCAGATCCCAAGATCCCTTCCAGCACTAGCTGTTTCCACCTGGTAACATTTTAGAACTCTCCCATTCAAAATATTCCCTGTCTTAAAGATGCGTTAGCACTTTGGTTGGGAAAGCTGCACCAATCCAGTGGTGGACAGTGGTTCTGGAAGGCCCTGGTTGCACAGGGAGAGCCACAAATGGCAAGTCTCATCTGTGGAGATCTAAAAAAACCCCATGACCTTGAACTCTCTCCAGTGTCAGGTGAGAAGACATTGCTCTGATATGCTCCTGTAGCTGTTGTTCTCCATGCAACAGAGTTGCATTGCAATGAAGCAGCTGTGTTATAAATGGGTGGCTCCTGAAAAGCAGGAATTGATGTTCACCACTTTTCAGGGTCAGGTCCTTGTCCTTAAGAACCTCAGTGTGGGCATGGGATGACAGAAGCTATCAGTCTCCAGAGGATCCAGGAGTTTGCTAATTTTAAAAAATGCATTATAGTCTGAAGTCCCTACTCAGTCTTTAGACAAGCAAAAATTCCCCTGAGCTCAAGGGGAATTTCACATTAGTTTAATTCATAAGGGAGAGTTATTGCATGCTGCAATGTTTAGACGCTTGGACTGCTGTTCTAGGTGTCATAAAAAGTAGTTGTGCTATACTGTGTATCACTCACTAGTCAGCATGTGTAACAGGTCAGTCTCTAAGACCAGTCCACAAAGGCTGTAGTCTCTACAGCTCCTACTTCCAGAGCATGCTGTTTAGGTCAGCACATTTTTTTCTCGTTTGCCCATCCGTGGTTCCCTCTCAGGTATTTTGCAAGATGGCAGTCATCTCGCTAAACTTCAAGGTCAAGTTGTCCTTAAGAACCTGAGAGGAATCAGATGACATAAGTAGTTAGAACTTTTGTCTATCCTAAGTTTCAAATGCAAACATGAAAAATGAATTATTTGCAAATACTTGGTAATAATAGACAAAATGGGGCAAATTTGCCACTGGTGGAACTCCATCAGAATTACACTAGGGATAAATATAGGCCAAAAGTGTTTTAACTGCTTTGACATCAGGGATATTTTGAACAATCCTTTAAACCTCAGCCTTAGCTTCTCCACTGTACTCACAGATCCCCGTGAACTCTAAGGAAATATCTGTAATTATTTTTTCAGACAGAGAAACAAAAGAGAAGTTTAAATGCAATTTTGATTTCCAATTTTTATAACAGGCAGCTGTAGAGCCTCCATCTTGTGTTTTTGGCACCCAAAAGAGACAAAGATGCAATGTGTGAAACCCTTAAGGCTTTGTTGTGTCCTGTTAGGGTGGATGCAGGCATAGGTGGTGAGTCCAAAGACAGCATCCTAGATCAGGGGTTACTGTAAACAGTGCAGAGGTGAAGCCAGTATCAATATGAGTCCAATGTATCAAGCCAGGTGTTGCAACAAAATCATGGTCAAGGCAACCCGTTGGTCATATTGAGAGGTCCAAGCCAGGGACAAGCTCACTTAGGGACAGGCAGGACAGGAACAGAGCAATCGAAAACTGGAACAGGGAGGTGCATAGCAGGAGCAGAGGCAGACAAGTACTAGGCAAGAATCCAGGCAGGAGTACAGGGTATAAGTTCAGGGTAGGTAAGGTACGGGCAGGAATTTAGGCAAGAATCAAGGGAAAAATTAGATTAGGCAAGGGCCAGGTGGGATATAGGTAGAAGCAAGCAGACAAACAGGTTGGCATATTTCCAGACAGGTCAAGAGATGTACCCAGGTTTCTTACATGTCTCACTGTCTCAGGCCTAGGCTCATCACATGTCCCATGATATGCCAGTTTCCAGTCCACAGACATACTGTAGATATATGGGTTTCCCAGCTTTCATTGTATACACTATACTACTGGTTAGAAGCATTGCATATGACAAACATTTATTTCCATGTTTAGTGTATGCTATGGATTATGAGACTCTAGGAAACCAGA